GTGGTTGCTCAAAAGATAATTATTACGGGTAAAGACATAGAAAAGCTTTGATTTTAGCTATCGAATGTTCGTCATCTAGCCAAACAACGTTAGGGAACATTTTCTGTCAGAAATCGAAATAGGATTAGTTTTTGATGCCTTGGTTCGATCTCTACTGAGCCACATATTGAGTATGCACGCCCTATTCAAGAATATCATGCGAAGATATCAGTTTCATTTAATCGAGAGAAATGCTCTGTTGTTGTTGTTTATTACGCGTATAAAAGTTACACAAGACTCATATAGCAAGTAAGTTTAGTCGATAACAGTTGCACGATGGATGAGACATAAAAGAAAATAATTTGCGAAGCATCACGTTAAGATTATATGAGGAGAAGAGTGATATTTACTTTTACAACTGAAAAGGCAGATTTTAATTTTATTAAGATAGTCGAGTTTTAACCTATATTTCCTCATACGATAATCGATTTTTATTTGATTTATCGGTATGATCTTAAAAGTCGAAGTACTACTTAATATAATATCGATATGAGACATGCCTGCCAACACTTAATCTTATGTTTTTGATGACATCAGTTTAGAATCGATGGAGCTTAATGAATATCGATCAAGTCCTTTATAAGATATTTTTCATTAATTTATTGGAATCTGACGATCTTAATGTCATTATTTCTTTAAATTCATTCAAAATATCTTAATGGATCTTATCTTATCCACGAAAGGAAAAACAAGTTCACTGAGGGTTACATAGACAACATATTCGCATGAGAGAGTCAGAGTTCTTCTATGAGCAATACTTTTTACTTACTTTTCTCCCTTCTCTAGAATGGACAATGACAGGAAACATGAATTTTGCACGAAAATTTCACACGGCATCTATATTAACAAATGGAAAAGTGTTAGTTATTGGTGGATATAATGGTATTTCTCTAAATAGTGCTGAATTGTACGATCCATCAATAGGAATCTGGACAATTATTACTAGCATGAGCACTGGAAGACAGGAACATACTACATCTGTATTCACAGATGGGACTGTGTTAGTTGCTGGAGGAATCAAAGATAAAGATTTTTTAAATACTGCTGCATTGTATAATCCATCAACAGATAGTTGGACAGTTACGGGAAACATGCATGGTCTACGAGGTGCTCACACAGCAACTATATTTACAAATGGAAAAGTGTTGATTAATGGTGGAGATGGTGGTAGTGGTTTTCTTAACACCGCTGAATTATATGATTCATCAACAGGAATCTGGACACGTACAGGAAACATGAATTATAATCGTGTTAATCATGCAACATCTTTATTAACAGATGGAAAAGTGTTAGTTGCGGGTGGACTTGATCGTAGTCCTTTAAATAGTGCTGAATTGTATGATCCATTGACAGGATTCTGGACAATTACAGGTAGTATGAGTGATACACGACAGGGTAGTACATTATCTAGATTAATGAATGGAAAAGTGTTAGTTGCTGGTGGATTTAATGGTGGCTATCTAAAAAGTGCTGAATTATATGATCCATCAACCGGTAATTGGACACATACAGGTAGCATGAATATTGCACGGGCAGGGCATACAGCATCATTATTGCCTAATGGAAAAGTATTAGTTACTGGCGGATCTGATGGTAGTTTTCTAAAAAGTACTGAATTATATGATCCATTAACAGGAATCTGGATTAGTAGTATGAATATCAATATTGCACGATGGCAGCATACAGCAACCATACTCACAAACGGAATATTGTTAATTACTGGTGGTGAGCAGGGTAATAATATGTACCTGAATAATGCAGAACTGTTTCCATTGCCATAAATTAAATGGCATTGTTTTTCTATCGATTGCAATATATAATTTACTTATAAATCCTTTAATAAAACTATTATGACGAATACCTTGATTTTACTCTAAAGCAAGTCTTTATGACAAAATGATAATCAACTAAACCATCTTGACAGTATAGATGTGGAAATGTGAGTATGGGTGTGTAAAGAAGACAAAGAAAAACTAAAACATACTCACCCACCCTCAAGATTAAACTATCTTCTTGAAGGTAGAAACACAGTTTTTTATACGGTACGATAGAGTTCATCAAGCTGCACAAGGACAGGAATATCAACACTTTTGCTGATCCTGTTCCTCATACAAAAGTTGGCGATAAGTAGAAACACTAGTGAAAATCTAATATGTTGTGTGTTAAAGAAAACGTGCTTAATTTCTAAGACATTTAGTCTATATCTGAAGCTCGAAGAGGATTTTTCATATATAACCATCGTGTGTTGAGACTACTTTGTTTAATATTTATTTAAACTCATACCTTAACTGCACATTAAAAGCGACATATAGATTAAGACATTTTACAATATTTAAAAATCGTTTTTCTCATATGCATACAATCAAATACAATGAATCATATTGACATACAGGCGGAAACATGAGTATGTATACGTGAATATGAGTATAAAGATTATAGTCAATATTTTTATTTACTGCCAAGCTCTAATAGCTCTCATAAATCGTTGCCGCCAAGTAGTAATTGTTTTTATGAATTCTTTCCTATAGAAAGTCGATGGTAAAACAAATATGACAAAGATAAAAGATGATGGAATGAATGAAACAAAATAACCGAAAAGATACAACCAAGGATTTTGAGATGATTTAATACATGTTGATAATAATGAAACGAGAAAACGAGGAAATAATAGAATAGCTAAGATAATAGGACTGATAACAAGTTGTTTGTGCTAGTTGATTTGATTGAGTAATTGTTGTTGAGAACTAAACTGAGATTGAACAGTCGTTTTTAGACGAGTTATATATATAATAATAAAAATAGCTGAAATTAAATTCGCTAAAAACGGAGCAATAAAATGAAAATATTGAACAATATTCGTATATAGTTCAATTGATTTAGAATAACGAACTACACACCATACACGTCCTTCTTCATAATCATCAAACAAATCACGATTAATAAATTCATAAATCATTGAACTTAAAATAAGAAATTGTAAAAGAAAAATAATCCATCGTGCAATACATCGACTTCTTTTCTTATTAAAATTAGTTCCTTGAAAAACTGCCATTGCTCTATCAATACCTACACAAGTATTAAGCCAATTACTCATATGTAGAAAAAAACGAAGCATTGGTTCAAATAGTAAACATCCAACCATCTCGATGGTGTGGGTGGATAGGTGGATGATAGTGAAAGCGTGAATGGGTAAGTGAGGGTGTGAATGTGGTGCCGGTATGAGTGGTTGTGCATGTTAATGAAAATCAGTCGCACCCATACTTCAAATTCTCATCCGTTTTCTCATCTGCCAAATATGTATTATCAAATTTTTCCGACTAACTGCGAGTATTCCCGTTAGTACAATATAATTATTAAAAACATGCGTAAATCGTATAGGCATGGTCAAATAGCTGTTTTTATTTGAAAGAAGATACATACCATTCACAAAATATCCATATTAACAAATAGGATAAAATAATTATTAAAAGGAACTTGATAACAAATGTTAATGATGGCAAGATTGTAGATATTATTTTTTGCATTTTGGAACTTCGGCCCAACAGTGGTCACCGAATACATAGCCATACTTTCCATTAGATGTTTCAATACGATACCATGTCTTTGTTTTCTGTGGAAGTCTTTCGATTTCAAAGCAGTCACATGGATAGCTATGATCAGCGCGGACATACATATATGGTTCACAATCCATTGCTGCACACGTGAAAGCAGCAGTCACTTGGCGACAAATAGCTTCACCACCCTAATCATATGAAAAGTATAATATTTCAGATGTTAAGATATTCAATTAAGACAAACACTTTACCTCGCATAGTGTCGCACCAAGAATTAACAACATCAGAGACACGATAATAAACCGATCCATTTATAATTTGACTTGTCTGTATTGTAATAATATATGTTTATTCGTTTCGAAATAAGTAATTTTATAAACTAGGAGTATCCTTTTATACAACACTGAAAACGTGGCTTGGTAATTTAACCCTGAGATTTAAAGAAATATCTATTTTGATATATATGAAGTAGTAAAATGAATGAAATTGATATTAGTGTCAAAAAAAAAGAAAAGCAATTATTGATATAGTTTTTTAATCTTTTTTGAGATTGATTTTTTTTCTTAGTATTCTCTTCAAGAGAGTGATTATTTCGTTTTATTGTCTTTTTAGTTCGAGACGAGATTTTTGTATTTTTTTGTAATAATTGAAGAGGAGGGTTTAGAATTCGTTTTATTTAAAATATAGAAAAAAACTGCTCATATTAATCGAAAGAATCAGTAAGTAAGTAGAAATATATTAGCATTCACACCTTTCTTTCTTATTATTGATAAAATTTCTACTAATGATGGCCTTTGAAGCCTTTACTATAACAACATGACTTGATTCCTCCTACACCGTGTACCTCAAAAAAAGTATTCACAGTACACGCGATGATCCATTTGTGGTTTCGTAAAAACAGAGATTTCGTATCAAATCTTTTCATTAAACTGAAACTAAGGTTCTGTAGACCATCTTGAGGGTGAACAGAATGAGTAGACACTCATCCCAACCCCCACTCCCACATCCACATCCTATTCAATTTTTAGTGCTTTCGCTATTTTTGGTTATTTAGGTTCATCAACATGGGTCGCATAAGTTAAATTAGCAATTATTATTTTAGGTAAAATACATATTAGAGTTAAATTCCTAGGCGAGATTCTAATCAAGTTTATACTTTGTAGTTAGAATGATATTATCTTTTTTAGAATTTATCGAAGGTACTGTTCATGCATTATTCATCTTTCTTGCGTTACGTAACCGATTGAGAAGAACGAATAAATATAATTATTCAGTACGTGAAATGATTACTCTAATGATTAGACTTAGTTTGAGTCTTTGGTTTGAAAAAACAACAACAATAACAATTAAACATGAAGCTAATCCATTTCAATTGGCTTTTTATCATGTTATTCCATGGTCTATTGTTGCTGCAATCACAATACCACTTTAAATTGTTTTTCGTTTTCACACATCTGTTTGTCTTTCAAAATGTTTGGGCAAATATGTATCATTTGCCAGCCTATCAATGATTGACTTCTGGTAGTTGATGATATTTTCTTTTCAAAAATGAACACAAAAATTACAAACTTTTCCTTACTAAACTAAAATCTATTTCATTGTTTGTTTTATAAAACATGATATATCAACTAATAACCTGAAATTTCATTAAAATCTATTTTTTAGTTTAAATCAGCAAGTAAAAACTATTACATGACCACATTTTCCTTAAACTCTTCTTTTAAAATATGATTTTTGTCAAATAATTGTCATTAGAAACAAAACTTATTTGATAATGTCTTATTGACAATAACAACAATAGAATGCAATTTTTGTATCTCTTCTTTAGTAACGCAATTTGTCTTACTCATCTAGTCATATATCTATGTGTAAAAAAGAATGTAACTTACATAAATAGATAAGATATCGCATATATTAAAATACAAAGAAAACAAACAGAAGATCATTTTTACATTTATCTTCAATGTTGTATTTCATCGTCTTCATCTTATTGTCTTCAATATCGACTCAACTTGCCGATGGTCTGGTGTGTGCCACTAATTGTGATTACTCCAGTAATCTCGAACATATAGTATTACCATCTTGTAATACTACCGATAAACCTGTTAGTGAACAAAGTTGCCGAGTTTTATTAGATATTGATTATATCACTGGTGCGGTTACTGGACAATTTAATCCTACAAAACTACCAAAATCTGCTAATTTCGCTGGACTAACTGCTTTCTCACTTTATAATGAATCAGTGACTCTAAGAATCGAGTTTGATTGTTTCACATCAGATGAATGTGATTTATTATTTGCTAAAAATGTTTTAAATAGTAACTGGACCGAAGTTCAAACTGAAGTAAAAAGTTTAAGAAGTGATTTAGCTGATAAGCTCTTTAATTCGACGGATCTACGACCTAATGATACTTGCACAAATAATCAACCATGTTCAGGTGAAGGATTCTGCCAAACAGATTTTCAGTATTGGTCAGATACTGCACATCCCGCAATCAGGAGTACATGTGCAAATTCGACAGAACAGCCAATTCTTAATTGGCTTGAAGCACTAGATCAAGCTAAGGTAGGTGACATTCTGCTGTATACCTGCAATACACCTAAATGTGCATCACAAAATTCAGTTCTAAGTGTGGTTCGAGTGATTTCAGAAAAATATGCTTTACCATTTAATGTGACAATACCAATAACAACGACTACTATCACTACCACGACCACCACCACACCGGCCTCTACCATATCAACGACATCAACAACATCGGTAACAACACACGGCGCTGCTAGCTCAGCCTTTTTAGGCAGTATGAAAGCAATTATTTTTGTATTCATTTCTTTTCTCTATTTGTATCTGTTTTGAATTTAATTTTTATTTTAATTTATAGTTGCACTATGGAGTTTTTACAAATAAATCAATATAAATAAATTCTATAACATCGATTTGTTTTTCTTTTTCTAGAGTATGGGTGTGGGTGAGAATATCTGAGTAAGCAAGAGTCTTATCCGTCATCCACCCACACCCACACTCTCAAGAATATTCATTAAATGCATCATTTGTTATTAAATGTTCATCTACTAATATGGATGAGAAATTGTTTTTCAAACCAGAATTATTTATTCGTGAAGTTCGACGATTAACAAATGGAACTTTTACATGTATATTTGATCGTTTATTAACAGATAGTTTCTTGTATGAAATGAATCTTTGGATTGGAAAATAGCTTGATTCTTTGATATATTTATTTGAATTGATCTAAATTTTTAATTTAGACACGAAAACCTTGGTTGACTATTCATTTTCCACCACGACGAGGATACTACTGGTATCAATTAGATTATAAATTTTCTCATCATCCATATATTATTCGTATTCAAAATGTTTATCGTAAATTAAGGCCGCGTGAATTCTTGCAAAATACTTTTAAAATTTAAAATTATTACATACCTTTCTATTTTTATATTATTTTTTTCCTTATGATTTTTCAACAAATCCTATCTACTGTTCTACCTATTGATTTGACCGATTATTTGATAGCTAGTGGTTTACATATTTTCATTTGTTTATAGGTCTTTTTTCAAAGTCTAATGCATCTTTTCCGAATTGGATGGCGGACGTTTAAACAATTTTTCAAATTACCATCGTTATTTATTGACAATCGACGCGTTTATTAAATATTATTAATCAAATTCAAATTTTGGCAAACATTTTTATTGTTTATTATAAAACATCATATCTCTTTATTATGTTTTGAAATTGTAATAAATATTTATTTCATTAATTAATGGTTCACAGTCACGTCCTACAAATACACTAGAGAGTATGGAAAAGAGGGTGTGGGTATATGGAAGAAGCAGACATCCGCACCCATCATATATAATCGAACTAATCTCATCATCTACATTCAAAGCCATTGCATAAAACCGGATTTCAAAACGTAGAAAAAAACGAATATGATTATATATAAACATTTCTAATAAATACTTGAGAAAATATGAAAACAATCGTATTAGTGATATATCTTTATCATACTACTTACCCAACTATCTCACCTTCAAAAATAGAAAATGAATTAAGAGATGTCAAAGTATTTGAAGAAAATTTTCAGCAAATGTCTACATCGAATAGATACGCATATATAAGGGTGTGAGTGCGACTGTGAATGAATATAAGTGCGATTTAAGAGATGGTATATCTACATCCACCCACACCCACATCCTCAAGAAAATGTAGTTTTCCATTGTAATAAATATATTTTAAAGGTCCATTCTCTTCAAAAATAAATGAGAAATGAGTGGTAATATATATATATACACCTTATTTCTTTTTTTCTTTCACGTAGTAATGTCTGTCATTATGGATATAAAAAGCAACTCGACAAAATTATTTCCAACACTATTTTTTTTTCTAATTATATTAATAGAAAAAGAGTCGTCGTCATTTATATATTTTTCGTTCCTACGCTACATTTTTTCCAAGAAAGAAATACTGATTTTTTTCCTGGAATATTCTCGAATATATATATATAGATGTATAGATGAGAAAAATATTATTTTACTCATAACGCATTATCCAACAACATCTTCTCCTATAAGGTAGGATTGAAAAGAACTATTTATCAGTTATATATTTTCCTTCTCAAAGAAAGAATAGAGAAATATCATGGTAAAATATAACATGAAATTGAAAAACTAACTTAATGAGAAAAAAAATATAAGAGTGAATAAAATTATTTAACGGGCATAAAATTCATATTTTACACTGGTAGAAAGTAAATAATGCAGTAAGAACATTTTTCGAATTTATTTATCTGCAGAATCAATTTGTTTAAATCTATTTTTCTATCCAATTGTGTCTAGAATAAGTCACTTAAACATTCGTAAGTGACCAGCAAAAATTTCCATGACTGATATAACATATTTTACAACAAGTCAACCAGTAGCTCGAATGACTGGAAATAATCCGTTTTTCGAACCAACCGTAGAATGGTCAACTGGATTGTGCGATTGCTGTAACGATGTAAATGAGTGTAAGTATTTCAAGTTTTTTTTATATTTTATAAAACCTTGCACTAGTAATTTTAATGTGATAGAAAATAGTTAAGTATGTACTAGTGTAAAACGGACTACCTTTGTTAAGGGAAAAGTATAAATTATCTCTTTGTCCTCACTTCAAATTGATTTCTCGAACAGACAAAAGAAATACTATCATATATAGTAGTAAAATAGATGTTATGAGTAGTAGCGATATACTAATTTCGCGTGTTATTATTCTACCATTGTCATACTGGAATGAAAGATTGATAGTTATGAGTAAAATTATTGAAGATAAGTTTTTTTGAAGAATTCATTGTCTTCTAGAGTTTATCTATCACTTAAAATAGAATCTTACTTCAAAAGGATGTCTTTTCTAAAGAAATTTATGTTTATATTAATCAAACATCGAATACTATCAGGATTATAAAATAGTGTAGGTGATTATGAGAGTAAACGTATTATGTTTATCATTTACCCACACTTATAGCTCGTAAAAAGTTTTTTATATACCTTAATATAATGCTTGGACATAATGATATTGCTGCGTAAATATGTGGCGTAGAGAATATTCGATTGTACGACTATTCAAATTTTGATATTTTCTGCTGGAAGAAAAACATGTATCTGAAAATAATCGATGGTAGTTAAAATTGTTAATTTCATTAAAAAAGAAGTTTTTACATATTTATAATCATTTGCAGGTATGAACGCCTACTTCTGTACATGCAGTTTTATGCGCCATATAGCGATACGTATCAATGATGACTCATCGTGTGTTTGTTGCCTTCCGAACCGTATTGCTATGTATCGTATGAGAATACGATCAATTCTTAGAATTCGAGTAAGTGTATATTGTTTAAAAACTATTTTACATGATCTATTATAGGGTAGTGCAATGAATGATTTTTGCGTTGCCACTCATTGTGGACTCTGCGCTATTGTTCAAATGAAAGCCGAACTAAAAAATCGTGGTTTGGCCTAATACAGACATCACACAAATAGATAAAAATCAAATCATCCTACAAAGATTATTCAGAATTATAAACATATAATTAATCATTTGAAATAAAATCCTTAAATTTCATGATATGAAAAGACTGAAATTTTACAGATGTTTAATTTCAAAAAATGAAAGTGAAAATAAGAATTGGATTCAATGCTGTTGATTTCAAAATCATGTTCTATATATATAGATAAACTTAAATGGTTTGTTCATCCAACACGACAAATAGAAACAGATGATATAATATAAGATGAAATCAGTGGCGTAGGCAGGATTTTTAGACTAATGGGCAAATTTCTTTTGTGTTGAAAAAAAACGATGAGTAAGATTTTTATTAATAGGCTAAAACTTGTTGGCCAAGCCAAGTAGTGTTAACATAGAAAAAATACAAAAAAATGAAATGAGGTTCTTCTAGTCAAACATGCATTAAACTCCGATCTTAAGTCTTAGATATGTATTTTAGTATCTCTATTTCTAATATTTATGTTTCAAATTCAAACACATAAATCAGAACGTCGAGAATTCATTTGTGTATATAATTTTAATATTTTATCTGGATTTATCTCGGAAACTTTATGAATGTAATCAGCAGCAAGTCCATTTAGCCTGTTTTGTTTCATTATAGATCTAGAATAATTTTCAATTCTTGATAATTGACTGAAACTTCTCCTTAGTTAGCGTCTTCCCAATAAAATCGAATTCATGTTCATCCAAACTTACAATTAAAATACACGAAGCGATTCTTTTCTTGTTTTCTTAATTCTATACAGAACGAACAAACGGAAGAAAAAATAAAAAAAATTTACAAAGTAAAATTTCAATGAGTAATTGCTCATTTGCCTCCACCTGGCTGCGCCACTAGTGACAGTATCTTTCATATATTAAAAAAGATGTTCTCTAATTTTTTAATTGAATATGATTGGAAGAGAGTGTGACTTCATAACAAACTGTAAAATAGTGTCATTGAATAATCTGATCTCTATATTTTATTAATTGTTACAATTGAATTTATTTGATAGATAAGTAATAGAATACGAATAAGGCAGTATTTCTTAGAATAATTAAGCGTATGACAAATTATTTATTTATTAAATACTCGTGTATTCGTACGATCTTGTCTTGAAAACAAAATCTTTGCATATTTATTATCAATACATTCAATACATATAGTTTTTTGTATAATAAAACTCTTAACTCTATTCAAACTATGAATTGAAAGTAAAATTAGAGAGAGCATATAAAAAAAGATAATTCCAGTTCTTTGTTCTTATGTAGCAAACCGATGTAGTTAACAGTTAATAATATTAAATATACAATATATGAATTTGATTTAGTTTTATTTTAATTACGGTATGATAGGAGAATTAGTTTTCATTGTGCATACTTTAAGCTATGAATCATATTTCTGATGGCTATTCTTTGTCTGATTAAAATCAAGTAATATACAATTCAATGACGATGTTTTTTATTCACGTTTTGTCCTCGATGCACGTTTATTAAATGTCCTCGCAATACGATTACTAAAAAAAACAATAAATTTTCATCCAAATGCCTATGCACTTAATTTGTATTATTTCTCTAACATGATGCATGCAAGCATTAACAACGTCAATACAACTCAAATAATGTATTTCTCTGCATTTCAATTACATTACTCGGACAAGCAATTTTATACTTCAAAAAAAAAAA